GATACACGACGCTTCTTCGACAAGGCTAGACCCGACGTCCGAGGACTCTCGCAGAAGCACAGCTTTCGATAGGTCCACATGTGAATTAGCTCTTGTCTTATACATTAAACATATTAAAGATAATAATAATGTTCATCGTTGGGCCTTCATGAGCTTTGCGATAGATTACCGTAGTGCAAATGCAGTCGACGTTGCTAGGGTTTACGGATGTAACCCGCACACTGCGTCAACTTCATCCAGCTGGTGTCACTATGCATATCAGGCTCTTCACTACCTCTCGCTCGAAAACTACTGGAACAATATCGACGCCGTGGTAAGACTATCCGCCACAAATACTTGGTCGAGAATGACGTATAAACGCGCTGTCATCGTTGACTGGCAAAAGCTTCAAATCTCAGCAGCCGCAAAATCAACTGGGAGGTTTTACATGGCCATCAAACAACAATACGGAGTCGAACAATATTTAAGTGGCGATCGTACTTACTCCAGACATAAATTTGCACTTCGATCAAGATCTCTCGGGCTTCGAGCACGCACATCATACCACGAAAACACGCATGGCCCCACGTACATGACGCTTCGCATCTGCACGTGTTGCACACAAGAACAAATCGAAGATGAGACACACTTCGTTTTAACTTGTACCGCCTACACAGGCTCGGAAGCGCGAACGCTGTTAAAATCATCGATTGAAATTGAGCTTACTAAAATAAATGCACGTCTTGTCTGGTTACATCTTTGTTCTCTCACTCCATCAGAATATCTTCCATATTTACTTGGCCGCTCGGAAACACACTGGGACAAACGTATCCCGACCATTATTGACAAAGCACTACAACCTTACTTATTGTCAGCAATCACAACTCGCACGCAACTTATGCACATCTGAAACACAGATACAGAGGTCTGAACACATGAATCGCTTTTTCAAATCAACTGAGTCAACCATTGAACACCTCTCAACAGGCGGTTCACATCATGCCTTCCGTTGCACGGATACCTTTTCTCCCCGAAAAAGGCGGGCCAAGAAAATAGCCAATATGGACCCTCGAGGAGTTTTTAACGGTTCTTGCAACGGACTCAAGGCGTGGTGAGAACTGAGTCATGAGCAGTGCAATATATGGTCTGGCTGTAACAGAGTACATGCGCACACAATCGAATGCATGTTTTGTTTCTATGTATTTGTCTTACAGCCCCTCAATGCACTGGTGGCGCGCAAAACAAGCACTCCAAGACTTCAGCAAGCAGCCGGCCCCTGACCTAGCCCGTAGTCAACTTCCCTAGTTAATCCCGCTGATCACGAGCGGAGGGGGAGCCAGTACTTTTGACTTAGTCAGCCCGGTTGTGACTTCTTCTGAAGCACCCCCTATAGTACATGGGTACAGGAGGCCCTCTTCCTCCCCTCCCGTTGACGCGATTAGTGCAGATTCTTAGCAATAGAACTTCATATATACATTGAACATGCACGGTCTTAAAAAAGTTGATAGGCGATAGTTCAATGAATTGACGTTGGTGCTGTTGCTAGGAATCGAACGCTTGATCGTTAGGTGAGGACCCGTAGATAAATCCGTCCAACCACATGTACACTATTTCTTCGCCCTCTGGGCTATACCGAAAGAAACCATGTCAGAAGTTTCGAACTTGGACTACGCCATGCCCTTGTACCCGCACACCGCCCCATGCCTTTGATACGCACGGGCTTTAAGAGAAGTATCCATACACCTCCAATAGGCACCTGGACCTCTCCAGCTACCTACCGGTTGCGTGCCCCTTTCATACAGGCAGAGATGCCACAGTGCGTTCACGTCACCCACCTGACGCGGTCTTTCGAACAAATTGTTTGAAGACGCTCTTCCCACTCTGAAAGGCGCTGCCATGCAAAGCACAAAGGCGTGTAACGCTGCATCATTGGCACGCGGGCTGCCCTTAATAACAATGGCATATGCAAAAGCGCTTGGGCTAGACGCACTGGGGCACAATTACGTCAAGAGTCTATTGCACTGGCAACATGATGTCGAAGATCAACTCCGCAGCTGCTAGTGTCTCACAACGTAATTCCATTGACTCGGGCTCGCAAGCGTCACATAGCTGCATCATGTTGGCTCTATGGTGCTATGGTTATCACTGCTCTTCAAATCCTTCCCACCACGCTATTTCATGCGCAGAGTATGGGCCTTCTGCATAAGTTGTCGCGGTGCAAGAGGCCTTTCACCCATGAGCACATTCTATATACGTTGGCCGGACGTGGTGCGGAGGACACAAGTGGACGTTAAAGCTCAATATCTTCATATGCAGATCCAATTATACTGTGCCATGAGCTTGAATACCGTACATGGCAAAGAATGGAATTTGGCATGCACAAAAGCACTCCATGTACTTGCACATACATGGTACAGCGGGGATATTGAGTGACGCTTTTACCATACCTAGCGAAACAAACTTGAAAGATACTCAGCATGTCATTTATTCCAGCTGAAGTTGCTGTACAGACCGGTTTTATTGGACACAACCTTTGTGTACAGACCGCTTATGTTTGCTCTTTGATCAAAAAATTTGCAAGGAAAAGTTAGGCCCGCAATCCTTGTTTGTATTCATGCCGCAGTCTTTTAGAAAAAAACCACTGAACTCCTTCCCTCTTTCTGTGGTTTATGTACAGCATAAAAAGACGCCCTCAGCTAAGATTCCTTGACATTCACCATCGATTGTCTTGCTTCTGTTGGTCCTCAATGAGCATGTTCCTCCTGACTGAAACAGCATATGTCGTAGTCACCACAGTAGTCCATGAACGGAGGCGCTCCAAGGAACTGCATGGAAGGCAGCAATCATGTCAGTAAACAAACGCAACTTTAAGATCGATCAGTGAACCACAGAACATGCTGCGGTGCGACCATCAGAAGAAGTGAAGCAATGATCTTCTTTGATCCATCCTACCGCAGCTTTGACACCTTACCTTGATCTTGTCGTCCTTAAGCTGTTCAACCAGGAACGGAATCCAGCCGGCAAAGATGTTCAGCCTCTTCTTGAACTCCTCAGGGGGCGCATCCTGCAGGAGCAAGAGCACAACTTGAGCTGCTTGCGATCGTTGGGACAGCTTCAACCAACAGACAACCAGAATGTGGTTAGTCAGGATAGGGCGAGCCATGCGCCCTATGAGCACAACAAGGACAACCACCCTGTGCAGTTGGACGGCACAACAAGCAGTACAACTCGCTCCCTGTGGCTGACTGACATTCCAAGTCGAGGGAAGGTGTGGTTGACGAAGGAAGCTACCTCGTAGTCGAAAGTCTGGCCTCCGGGCTCTTTCATGACGTCCAGGTAATGGCGGTAGCCCTCCGACACGTCCTGTGTCTCATGGATGCGGCGCATGGTACTGTCCGCGTGCTTCAGCTGGTTCCAGACACCTTCTATTGCAGCCAGCGCAGCTTTCTGGACGTCCTCCTGCGGCGCACCGGATGCCTGTCCAAAGAGAGAAGTGCTTGGGCCTGCCTCTTCAGACTGCCTGGATGCACCAGGTGCGACTAACCAGCAGTGGCAACAAAACGCAAGGGGCCGAGTGTCGGTAGGCACCAGCGCTGAGAGGACAAAGTACTTCCTGAAGAAGAGTGTGCGCGCTTGAACCCGACATCATGAAGAACGACGCGTCATGAGCAGCCTGATTGTAGGCCCCTCAAGGGACGTGCTTCTCGCTGTCTCATTTACTACTCAAAACCTGCAACGCTTACCTGCTTCGGAAGAGCCCCGCCATCATCCAGGCTCAGGCGCGTCACACGCTGTGAGTCATCATCATCCTCCTCCATCCCCCGTATGCCCTCCCGCATTTCCTGCGGAGAGCAGGCCCGGTGACATTTTGGAAGGAATAGCCTCATGTACACATCACATGGCGCTAGCAGTTGCCCGAACATGATTGTCGCATATATACATAATGTCAAGTTACTTATGCAGCCCGCGGGTCAATCATTGATCCGAATCCTCTCTTCCCAGCTTTGCCCCATCTGCAATTGGAGAGTTGCAAGATCCAAGTAGCGCCCAGCTGGACGACTTGCGGTCCGACAACTTAGTAGGGCATCCGTTCTAGAACGTTGGAGGTACCTGGCATCTAGCTAGAACCTTGCTATACGCTCAGACTCAGACGGTTTGCCAAAAACTAGACACGGTCCGATATTCACGAGCCTACGGTCCATTGTTGTAGCCGACCACTACATGGAACTCTATTGGTCAAGGAATGAATAAGTCCACAATCGATAGTCAGGGCGTTCCTCCATGGGACGGTTTCCAACATCTGTCAATTGCATGTTGGTTTGGAAGCGTTGAGGTACCAATTTACTCGAGGCGCTCCTAAAGCAGATTGGTGGTCTTTATCGGGACCCAGGTCTAGCTTTTGGCGCAAATGTTAACTCGGTCGAGATCCAAGGTGACGATCGACTGCTGAATTCGTGGCGTGCTTAGCAACTTGCACGCCAGCTGATTAGAAGCACGGTAACCATTTGAAAGCGGACCATCTACTCACCTGGCGGAATGCACTGATCATGTCCTCAAATCGGACTGCGTTGACCAGCTTAGCTCCCCTAATCAACATCACGTACAGCCCAATGTGATGCGTCGGCCCCTGCAAGGAGCGAGGAGCGTCTCAAGTTTCATACTTTACCGTCAAAGTACGACAATCGTATGGCCAAGAACAGAGGACCTCAGCAAATGGTCGCTCGTCGGACACTGACGGAGGTCATTACCCGATGCCGTGAGCCGGCAAGTACGTCGAATCTAAATTCTGTTCGTTTTACAAGCTATGCAGATCTATGGACATGTCACAGTTATGTGCTTTGACTTGGAAGAACCCGAATACTTTGACACGTGAGCAGGGGGATAGGAACGACCGCAAACCACTCGACATTTGCGGTTCAGTGCAACCCTGCAACTCTAACGAAAGGCGATCCCAAAGCAGGGATGCTCGAAGATTGCCCACAGATCGTGGTGGCTCATTGCTGCTAAGAACGTTACCCTGCCAGAATCTGCACGAGCCCCATTCCACATACGGGTCCGCGCACCTGGGGATGAGGAGTAGTCCCCTCTTTCTCTGCTTCTTCCCGGGTCAGGTCCGAAGTGGCGCAACCTTCGGTGTAAACGAACACTTCGGAGAGGGGGGGCACCATGCCGTGATTGCGGGCGGAGAGGGCGCTGACGACAAAGTCGAGCACGCAGACGTCAGTGCACGTGCCCACAACCAGAATCTGCGCCGGCGGGTGAGAAAAAGACTTAGGACGAGTCCGTTAATCAGCATGCAGGCCTCTGGGACGTCGGTGGATCTCAGTGTTGACGTTACAGCTTGCCCGTCGGGCTAGCTGAAGAAGAAGTGGACGGAAACAGGAAAACCAAGCACGGAAAAACCCGCGCGCAGGTCCGCGCCCGAGTAGGTGGTTGACTTCTTTGCGAAAGGCTTTAAGGTGAGCAGACGAAGAAAGCACAGTAGAAAAGGAGTCTGCATAAAGCGAAGATTCTCGACTGCCCTTGTCATCGCATTAAGGTGAAAACGGCGCAAGTGTTTGGTCATGCAGATCGAGGGGAGGATATAGGAGACGGGGGTAAACAGGAAGGCTGACGAGGGGCGAAGGTAGAAGCGCGGCGAGAAAACATACGGAAGTGGCAGTGGGGACGGGTGAAAGATGAAGGAAGAGAAGACTCGATGTGGAAACTGACAGATTTCTTGACAACGTTTCTTGCTTATCAAGACGATGGGGCTCGAGAAGGAACGCTTCTCGGTGGATAAAAGGCGCTTTCACTTGGCTTCTAAAAAGTCGAGCGGGATCGGAACAAATTTGACGCATTCCAGAAGCGGGTGACCCTTGATCTGATACCCATCGTACCAGATCATGATGCTTCCATTGAACCTGAGTCACTCGTAGACTCTGAATGACTGACGGCCAAGAAATGTGAGCGAGGCAGTAAACCAGATTGAACAATACGGAATCACGAAATCGAAATCTGGAAGTTTAAGTAGGAGAAAGGTCTGGTTAGAAAAAGGACTGTAAGTGTCCGCCGGTCTGAAAGACTCACTTTAATGTCAAAAACAAGGAAGATGTATCGCCAGTACTCTGACCAGGACTTGAAACACAAACGCTGCGCCACAAACGCTCCAATGCAACAGTGTCACGACCATCCTGACCTTCTGAAGCCTGAAAGAGCGTTTCGGGTTCTCTGAAAAACATATTGGTTTTCCCGTTAGAGCGATCCACGCTAACCGAGTAGCGAGACTGGCAGGCGAACTCACGTGCTCGACGGCATTTTCCTTGACCCACTTCGCAAAGTCGTTCGACCCGTCCTTTCGGAACGCTCCCAAGAACCCGTCTGCACAGTTCTTGTAGATCTTCGCGCACTTCGTATTGTCCAACCATCTCAAACGCTGCACACAGTATGGACACCGCAAATCAGAGTCCGCGTTAACCAGAATATCTGCTCGTCCGCTGGTGTTTCACAGCCTGCACGGGAGCCGCTTACGCATCTCCAGATCCGGCAACTGGTTCCTGCGTTCCTTCTGACGTGATTAGCCATTTGATGACGGGGTGGAAGTTCGAAGGACGCTAAGGCTTTTGGCTCGATGCACCCCAGTGCTTTTGAGCCTTGGAATTGGGCAAGAAAGCATTTTTCGTTGGTCTTCACCAAGATATTACTAGGAAACAGTAAGAAACAGTCGAGCAAAATTTGAATTGACGCATTCAATTTTCGTGGCCCGCTGGTCAGCACTCACGCTACGAATGATATGAGTGAACGCTAGCAAGATGGTACTGGTGACAAAGACACCGCGTAAGAGATACCAGATACACGAGACTACACCAATCGCATAAACGGCAACGGGAATCACTTCGGATGCGGTGTGCTTGTCGGAAGACGTAGGGCTTTACATTGCATGAATGTGATTGCCGACGCGGCAACGCCTTTGAGAACTTGTATCCTGAAGAAATCCGCCCAGAACCCTGATAGTCCAAAAGACAAGAAACCTCAGAAGCCTAAACAGCTTCAACACCGCAAGAAAAGAGGACTGGCTGACTGCAGGCATGCAATTCTGTCTGGTTCGCTCAAAGCACCCTCTTAACTTAGACTTCAACAAGCACTGGTTGATCTAGACGAATCAAAACCCACCGGCACAAACTCCTCCTCACCGCTGCCCCTCTCGCAGTGCCGCGGCCAAGGGGGCTCAAGCACCCCAACTTCGTGCCGGTCCATGAACGCCAAAACGGGCCAACCTCGATCGAGGAAGTGCCGCGCTAGCCGGTCCGTCTCGTCAATCATTTTGTCAATCTGGGGGCTGAGTCGGAGGGGTGCCTGGCAGAAGATAGAGGGAAAATCTGAGTGGTCGAAAGCTTATGGACTGTTTGTATGGCGTAGTCTGTGATGCCATTGCCTTTACACTGTGTTCTGCAGGGTATGATGCAGCCTTCAGTGTTCTTGGATCTTAGGTCACTGTGCAGAGTAGCAGAGACTAAGCAGGTTAGACATCCAGCTGATTGGTTAGACCAGTTCCTTAACTCTTTCAAGAGCAGCACATACGATGGCTGTCTCCAAATAACCTGCTCACTCAACGAAGTGCTTTAGAATTCACCGGTGCTTGTTCCGAAACAGAAGGATCTTAACAGCATTAAGAAAATGGTCTGAGTAGGTCCAAAATGTCAAATCGGTCCCATTCACTCTATAAGCCCAGAAAGATCTGATGCAAAAGGGGTGCAAGCTGATACAGCACGGATTCGCAACCTACATGCATAAGGAGAAATAATACAGCCACAGTGGTCTTCATAAGCTTGGTGCAAGACAAAGCTCATCAAACATTTTGCATATGAACCAAATGTGACCAGCCTTTTCAACTTCTTTACATCCATTGAAGCAGCTTGATACTTTTCTTCCCCACAAAAGGGAGACTTTTTCTTCCTTTACACAGAGGGGAAGACTTTTCTTCCGTTAGACTTAATCCTGGCCTCTCAGCTCTGTGTTCTAGAACAGCAAACAGGTTGACAAAAGAGATCCTGGGCCAGCATGCTTCTGAGCATTTGAAGAGAACGTTGAGGCGTTGCAGTCCAATGATGCAATTCAGCTTGATTAGATACTCACGCAACTCCCAGCGCCCACAGTTGCGAAACCGTTCACTTCATCAACGATGACAAGGCCAACACGCTTGCTGCCTGCCTTGTACTGCTCAAACTGCAAGGGCAGCTCGCTTGTGAGTAAACTCAAGAGAGCCTTGGTACCCATGGTTGGAAAATGAAACAGGAGAACAGCGCAGAAAGGTGGCGGCTATGTCATTGCTTCTTGCTAGCAAAATCAGACAACAATTCTGTCTTCTCTTGGCTGAAGGGGAGTGTGGCAGCTCAGAATGCTGCCAATAACCCTGCTACCATGTAGAGCTCCTACCTTTGAACAGTAAGTGCCACTGCTAGCTGGTGCTGACTTTGGGCTTCCCATGTTCTCCCATGGGGCTTTCAAATTCTCTGCGCAAACAGCCCCATGCACTGAAGTTTCAAAGTTAGATGGTAACCAGCGGCGGACAGGTTGTGCCGGTCTTTTCGCCCGTTTCTCGATGTGGGGTTCGGAATAGCCTTGGGCTTTGGCAGCATATGCCGGATTTGTAGCCGGTGTTGTCCAGCCGGTACACATTGGAACCGGGTTATCTCCCAGGCTAAGTCGGTTAGTAGCGGCTAGCAGGCTGCAGCAAGCAAGCAGGCTTGCAAGCAAGCTGACATTGACAACTTGAACATGTTGCAAGAGATGAACGGAGAGGTAAACATCTAGAGGGTCTTCTTCCTAACCCCACACTTTTGATGGGCACAGCTTCTAGATAAGGAGAGAACATCTTGGTCCTCACCGCTGTGTTGAAGGCCGTCAGGAAGTGTACCGGCGCCTTAGAGGTAAGCTTATAAAAAGCTGGCGGTAGCGCAGGCAGCTGCGCCGTGTTATCTGCACACCAACCACGGCTCAGGCTCGTCCACACCCGGTTGACAAGGCTTCCACCCCTCTAACAAGGCTGATTGGCCCGATGACCGCCAAGACACGCAGGGATCCCCCAACAGCAGCAACTAGGGCTGCTCAGGAATTGGACCTAGGGGGCGGGTCCAGCATCTCCTATCTGCCGGGCCACTTTGCAGCAGACCAGGCGGATGAATGGTTCAAGGCGCTGGATAGTAGTCTGCCCTGGGAGAGGCCCGAGATCTTTGTCAGGGGACGCAGGTCTCTGCAGGTGAGCAGCTGTGTGATGAATCTATTGCCAGTAGTGTGATCCACAAAGTTTCTGTGAGGGCTCTCATTTTTCTATGTGGTATGCTGTTGTGCAGCTCAGTAGTCGTTGAACGTTGTGGCAGTCAGTCCTGTTGCATGTAGTAGAAGGCAGAGGTTTGAGCGAAGGGTCACAATTCTCTGGTGACCAGAGGTACTATTGATCTTTGGGGTTTGTTGCGCGGCAGAATCAGCAGCCACAACGGCGCGGATGCTGACTGGATATGCCCTCCCGATGCGAGTGACCTCCTGACACAAACAAGAGGACAAAAGCCAATTACATTGAGTCCCAGCTCTACTTGTCAGTCTTTCATGAGGAAGCCACCGCGAAAATGCTCAAGATTGAGACTGAAAGAACCCTGTCCCTGCGATCTCTGACGGAGGGGTCCTTGGCAGCAACGGATGAAGCTTGATCATTTCAGAGGTGTGATTGGCGGCAGGATCTTGTGGATTGACGTTTTCAGCGGACATACCTCAATTGCTGGACAACAGGATTTATGATTAAAGAAGTCGATGATTCTGCAGAATCTTTGTTAGTTGTGGTTTCTGCATGGTGAAGTTCACAATCGCCTTCAGTAAGGTAGCCCACTCCTGGTCCCTCGATTACGAGAATAGTCTGCCTTGTTTCGCCGGTCTCTCCTTCACGGACGATTCGAAGCCCATGCCTTTTCTGCGCAGCCAAGAGAAACGTTCTACATCGCGGACCCGGGGTTAAAGCCTCTCAAGTACAGCGGACATGCACCCGCGTACCACATTTGGGACGACTTTCCAGTGCTACAAGCAATCAGAGATGCGGTGAGCGCTCAACTGAGTCCTGATACCGTTTGATTTTGTGTTGGTTACAAGGATCGTCTTTCTGCACCCCATGCCGGTTCTGTCACTAATCAGCTAAGGCTGGAGCACTGATTTGTCATTGACAGAACCAGCTGATGCACCTTATAAGGATCGCTGGAAAAGCAGGGGCGTCTACAAGCTTGGAAGAGCGGAATCTCATTTGAAGTTCGAGACGAACTGAGAGGGCTGAGACAGCACAATCCAGTTGTCCCCCTAAAAAAATCCTAGTCTCACTTGTTGCATATGCTGACCACCCGCTTCCATCCGAGTTATGCCAAATTCTCTTGTCAAGTCTACGTCGGAGCAGGTCGTCTTTTGCCTATCCGGAAATTTGCACGATTAAGCCACGTTTCTTTTCCCTGGTTTGGGGACGTTCAAGTGTCCTCGTTTCTTTGCCCGTCACATCCGAGCCACTCCCGGCACTAGTCCCTTCTGTGCTGTTATAAAATCATGCGAAAAATGATACGATCACTGGGGTTCAGCATTCCGCTTTCTAAGACCGTTTAGATATTCCCTTCCTATTGTAGCGCGCTGCTTTCTGTGTGCTAACGCGCTTGCCTTCGTCAACCTGCCTGTATGTTTTGCTGCTTTACAGGTGACCAGAGTCTTCTTAGCGAAGTCTCTCTTTAAGTCGTTCTGCTTCTGCCAAGGCCTTTGTGGCAATTTCGAGCCCTGGTTCGGTGGTTCAGGATCATGCCAGAAACAGATTCCGTTCGAGTCTTTTTAAAGCTTTCACTTTTCTCGGACCTATTTATACCTATGCTGGGACCCCTTTTCAATCTGGGGTCACAGTGTATTCTTTAGTGTCTGGACCCCAAGCCCTCCTTGCGGCGACTTCGACTCGACCGGCTCACTAGCAGACTGATTCGAGCAGCCCACATTTGCCACAGTCACTAACAACTGCCCAGGCTTGTGCAGGTGTGCGAGGCGGTTCCCGGGTACGCATTCAACAGCTGCCTGATCAACCGGTACGCGGACGGCGACTCGTCCGTTGCCTGGCATTCGGACGCCGAGAAGCTGTTCGGCATCGCCCCGACAATCGCGTCTCTCAGTCTCGGAACGTCACGCGACTTTCTCGTACGCAGAAAGGTCAGAAGCAAGCGGGCCAGCGCAGAAGTCGATTCAGCTCATGGGACAAAAAGAACAAAGCGAGAAAAGGTGTCAGCTGTTGATGTGATCAGTTCGAGGGGAGAAACGCAGGATGAGAAAGAGCTAGGGGAAGAGACGAGCAAATTTAGTTTTTACTTGGGAAACGGAGACGTCTTACTGATGCGGGGAAATATGCAGCGAGACTGGGAGCATGCGGTTCCCAAGCGGAAAGCTGTGAAAGGAACCCGGCTGAGCTTGACGTTCCGAACTGTATTGGAACCCTCGTGATTACTGGTCGCATGCCTAGGGGAATCAAACAGCCGCGCACGCGTTTGCTTCTGTCGTTTGAGTGAGTTCACACCGCGTCGAGCAGTCTACCGAAGCTGATAACGTACTCAGGTTAGAGTAGGATTCGGGCCTTGATATCAGCTCTTCGAGTTGCTAGACAATCTAGTCATGCATGACCTGAACCGAGCAGCCTTGTGATTTCTCTTCCCAGTCTAAGGTCTTGACACTATAATTAAACGGGCACAACGAGGCCTCCTGCACTGATATATCCGAGCTTTGAGACTAGTACGATTGTAAGAAACATCCCGGCAATCCGGCAGCTCAATTGAAATTAAACTTGGAACAAGCTTCGATATATTGTTTGTGGCCATGGATGATGGATCATATGCATGGAGCATCTTCTTGAACTCAGGCTCCTCAAAGCAACGCAATGTATTCGATCAGTTATCAGCTCGCTATGTGACTGAGAAGAAGCGTCCAGCTAGATTATCTACACTTTTAGCTCAGCGTGACAATGATAGCTCAGCTTGCAGCTTTCCCGCGTCGCAACAGGCCGCGCCTGCATTCACGGAACAACGTACGCATACTGCGCTCACATGGCGGCGGCCAGATCTGACCCCACAGGCATGTAAGTCCGGATCGACGACGGTTCCAACGCCTGATCGTGGCGCAATGTGATTATTAGGCGTGCCCTTGGCTTCAAGATGTTAGCCAAGATTCCTTTTGATGCTCGAGCGTCGAGCACGTGCCATTTGCATATGACTACAGAAGACCCCGTGGAACTAGGAGAACGTGGACTCTAGTTTGCACTTCTGGAACCCCACACACTGCTTGGTTTTCTCTGCGGCGCAATTCAGTCACAGTTAAAGCTGGGTTACTATCTGATTCATCCGGTTGTGTAAGCGTGACGTCAATTTGAGCGCTGATGGGTAGACGGTCCGATGGGCGACCGCGCCCCGGGCAGCGCCGCTGCTGAGTGCTGATGCTCGAAATTCCGGAATTATGATCTTCATGATATTGCAATATTGTGCATGTGGCTTACCCATCCAAAATGTACAAGGCATCATGGAAATCTGGCTGCACAGTGCACACGATCTCGACAAGAAGGTCACATATAGTAGCTAGGCCGCGCTTGAAGAGCAAACTCATCTAGCACTATGGGGAATATACCTCATTGTTCCAAGACAAATTGCAATTATATCGATGTACGATAGCTGTACACAGTACAACAGTCCACTGGACATCATTGAGCTCCCCAACCCCCCACTGGACGTGTCAAACAAATTCCTGTAGGTCCGTAAATTACTTCTAAGCAACTGTTGAAGATCAGCCCTTCAGTAGAGCTCTGGCATTCGAAGCTCATTCGAAGTCGCCGCCTACTAGCTTGGCATGGCTTCGTGGCTAGAAGCTAGAACGGCTGCAGATGGCCGTCATATCATACTTCACTGACATTTGCCAACTAGAGGCTCTTACTGAAGTACTCGCTTTCGCTTGCTGTCTTCAACAGAATGCTAGATACCTAGCTAGTAGAGCGGCAAGCGAAGCAAACTCATTAGGCCTATCCTGGGCCCGGAAGTTGCCAGAGTTGCCTGCGACGTTGCGCGACTTTCCGCGATTTTGCGCGACTTTACGCGACTGCTCCGCGACTTTATTATGCGAACTTCGCGACCTTCACCGCAACTTTATAAACCTTTGGTAAACATGTTCTGAAGCAACTTATTATGTTTAGATGCTTGCAATCCCCCGCGACGTTTCGCGACTTTCCGCGACTTTCCGCGATGTCCGCGACCTTCGTCCGCGACCTTCACCGTGACTCTGCGACCTAGCCGGGTCCAGGACAGGCCTCTCATTGAATTCATGATTACTGTGCCAAATAATAGTGCTGCTCGCGGCCCCGCTCGTCAGGCTCGTGGAGATTCGTGAACCATCAGCTGACCATCATCATGATCATCATAATTGACCTTTAACTCGAATCGGATTGCAACTCCAACTTGGCTGGAACCTGGACAACGTAGTACGGTACGTACTGCCATCCGTGATCACTGATGATCCCAACTCCGGGCCCAGGCGAGACCCTACTTA